TCACACCTGTGCTGCGCCGCACTCTAAACAGCAACCTGTGGCTATCTGTAGGAAAGTGTGCTGCTCACTGAGGGTGATCTAACCTCCGAGTGATGGGAGTGAACCAAAACAGGAGGGAGGAGGTTCCTCACTGTGGGAGGAGCTGCTGTGTAGTGGGCTGCTTGCCTTTTGACTCTCCGCCCCTCCTCAAAAAGTTTCATAAGAATAAATTAGGTAACCCGTTTTGACTTTTTACCAAGAATTTGTGGCTGCCTCTCCCAGTTGACAAACAACTTGATTCAGCTGAATTATTTGCCCAGCATTTCTTGCAGCAATAAATGCGGATCAAAAAAAGTTCTGTTTGTTTATGAGAAAACCCAAAGGCATCACATGGCTCCTCAGTTTCCTGTATTTCAGTTGTCAGACTAGTTCAACTTGTTGTCAGTGTGACTGAAACTGGGGGGGGGGGGGGGGTTGTCTTTGGTGGTGAGGCAAAGAAGCATTACCCATTTCAGAGCACTATTGAGGAGGAATTAGAGCTGCTTTTTTATGCTACTCCATCACTAGCTCACCACTTCCCAAACACATCCAGTCATCTCTTGGTTTGTGCTGCTGATAATATAGTTTAAAGAACCTCGATTATTTCTCCGGGGAATCCTCATGCATAGTAACTTATATGCAAACTGGAACAGAGCTCCCAGGGGTAATCTGAGAAGACTGGCATTCTTTGATTAGGCGTGAGGCTCCCGACACTGTCAGTGGGAAGGACAAGAAATTACTTCAGGAAGAATAGAGGAGTAGTTACATATAATGATCAAAAAAGACCAGAGGCAACTCAGTACAAGCCCTGCTACTGAATTCTAAGCAGGAAATACAACTCCGGCACTATTACATAAATGCTACTCGTCACTTTCACAGAAGGAAAAAGTAGCGTAAACAACTTTAATTTTTCAAGAGCTTCTAACAGTGTTCATTTCTGTGCCACCTGCACTGCCACTCATTCCACATTGCAGCACCATCTTGTGGTTACATGGAAACAAATGGAATTGTACAAAGCTGCAAAGAATCAATATATTTTCAATACTGGAGCTTTTCTGTAGTCAGTGTGGACAGTGTGTCTAATTAAATGTTTCTGCTTTGAATGGTCGACCCCAAATATTTAAACTCTACCAATTTCAGTATTCACCTTTTCATCTGTCTCGCTCTCATTCTTAAACATCTATCATACCCTCAACAGTTTCATTCCTCTTCTCGCCAGAGCATACCTCCATGTATCAGTACATGTCTTCTCCATTCCTGAGATATCCTCTCATTTTCCAATGTTGTGTTAGCCAGTCTCCATATCTCAACAGGTATATCTGGACTAACTGCCTTTTTCATTCATCACCCTTTTCATAGCTGCCCCCACGTCCTTCTTACTAATCCTCTGGGCGTCTTGATTCTCTATCTTTCCTCCATCCGCATTCCCCTTTTTCTCATTTTCTCATTGTTTTCTATGTAAAATGTATGTAAAATCAGAAAGCATTGATGCTAATTATTTAACATCTATAACAACATCTTTAACAAGAAGCAGTTAAGAGCTGATCCCGAGTGTAATCCCACCCCCAGTTTAAACCCATGTGTAACTCCTACCATGCACCCCACAAAGAAGCCAAAGGATATTTGTATATTTTGTATAAAGCAGTTTTTTGTGTGTATGGATGATGTGTTGTTGAAGTATGTTGATTGCCAATGAAAATATAATTTCACATTTTAAAGGTCAACACGCAAGTAGCAACCCACTTAAAATTAATTTACAGCCTTTTCAAAGAATATCTGTTTATTTGAAGCCAAATTGGAAAGCTCCTGAAAGGAAAAACTGTAATGCCAAACTGTGACAGAACTGAAATGCTTAGGTTTTGAAAATCAGCCTGTTTACCATGTGGCTTAAATAAAACTCAACACTAATCAAAGACAGATCATTCGTGACCAGGAGGGAAAAACACAACCAAAAAACCCCCCCAAAAGAAAAACAAATGTTATGACTAAATATTTTTTTTATCTATGCATATGTACAGTATGTATGTTCTAATTACTGTAGGGTTAACTATTCATCATTGAATCATGATGGAAACTAACATGTTTTAGTGCTCTTATGGTGTATAAAAAACGTTGCCGGATCAAAAAGCTTTTCACACTTTTCCACTGTGAGAAGGTGTTCCTTTGCTGTTGATAAGAATGTAACTACACTACTGTGGTAGATAATGACAACTTGAACATGTCTAAACTAAAGAAATGTGAATGAACGGCAATGCTGATCCAACACATTAACACCACAACAACAAAAATAAATCCACCAGACCCAAATACCCCAACTAAATTTAAGATCCTCTAAAATTTTATTTTAAGATATCAGAGGATTACACTCAGTTTTCAACATCATAATACCAGATATCCTGGCCACCATACTGGACCACCTTCAGATCCCCCCTGCCACCTGCTCCTGGATCAAAGATTTCCTTACCAACCAACCAACCTCAATCAGCCTGGTGGAATCTGTCTCCACCTTCAGGTTTCTGGGCACCCAAATCTCAGGTGATCTCACCTGGACCCACAACACCATCACACTGGTAAAGTAGGCCTAGCAACAGCTGCACTTCCTCTGTGTCCTGAGGAAGAATAAACCTCGGCCAGAAGCTGCTGCTGGCCTTTTACCACTGCCTGGGTGTTTGCAGGGGCCACAACTGTGAACAGGAAGGGTGCTCAGAGGGTAATTAGCTCAAAAACTCATTGGCTGACCTTTGCCAAACCTGGAAGCTATTGCCACTCATGCCACTCACACAGTGGCATGAGTGGCACTCTATACTCTCTATACCCAGACAAGTCCTTTTTCACTGCTTCCTAGCACTTTGTTCTCCAGTGTGTGCCTTTCTTGTTTTGTACATATTCCTCTACTCCTTTTGAGTGTTATGAACATGGGTGAATTACTAGGCCATGGGGGCATATCCCTTGGAACCAGTAGGGGCTGTTACCCTTCATATTTTCATTTATTTATTTATTTTCAAAGTTAAATTACACTTAATACTGACCCGGGTTATATAATCACATGTATCTGGCTAACAACATATGGAAAGCACAGACAGCATAGATTACATTTGGCCGGTTGGCAAATTGAATTGTATTAGTGGGTCCAAGTTCAAGGCAGGATGATGGCTTAGCCGGCAGAGAGAGAGACACTTGCTGAACCCTCTGATGTCACCTGCGGTCCAGGGTTGAGGAATATTAAGACAATTTAAGGCCTCCTGTTAATGACTTTGCTTTAAAGAATACCAGAATGAACTTTGCATTAGGTAGGTGATTTTAAAGCTTGCACAGAATGTAAAAGAATAGCAGAAGAAGTATAATCTCAAAGTAATGTGCTACAAAACTTTGAATGCGTAGGTGTGTAGAACGTTTGTATCCAAAGTGTGTAGTCGTGATAATCCTCCCATGATTGCAAGTACAATAGCCAGATACTCACAGAGTGCATGATATTGTAAAGAGGCTTATGTACTAAACATTAGCATATGGAAGTATGCAGTTGAATAAAGGCTCTAGCCATGGTTTTGGTCAGTAACCCTAGTAATGCCAGTCCCACTATGGTGCTACACATAAACACTAGCGAATCACCATCACTATTAAGATTCATTCACTTCAGACTACTACAAAATCCAATTTAAAGCTGTTCTGCAGCAATGGAGGTTGATGAAGCCTTGAAAGCTGGTTCTACTAATTCCTACAGGTGTTTCAACTTTCCTGGATTGGTTACAACCCCCTCTGTCTGCATAAAAGCATTGTTGGAAGACATTGTGGTACCATAATCTCGTTAGAATCGGTTGAACAGTATTGTACTGCATGAAACACCATCATTGGGCTACTGAATACTGGAAGAAGGTATTATGGACTGGTGAATCAAAATTGGAAATCTTCGATTTTTAA